GTAGAAGTAGACTGCCCAGGAGAGGAACAAGAATCAAAATGACAATTTTGTTGCTCTTTCTCTTAGCTAACTTGCTGCTGAATGTAAGAAGTGTACAAGGCTTTAGACCACTGGCATTTCCACATAGACCACTATTATTCATAAAAGCTTCAAATGGAGCTTCATTGAATCCTTTGATTTTGGGGATAGGGCCCTCTAGTTCATTGTAGGAGATGTCTAGAGTTGTCAAGCTCACCAAATCTACAAAAGCAGTTGGAATAAAACCGGAAAGTTTGTTGTGAGAGAGGTTCATCGTTTCTAACTGTTTCAATTGCCCAATTTGTGATGGTATCTCTCCTGCCAGTAGATTCCCACTGAGATCTAGATCTCCAAGAAAATGCAGGAAGCCTATCTCAGATGGGATGCTCCCTATGAACTTATTATGACTCAAGTTCAACTGTAATAAATTGGAGCACTGTCCCAGTTTTTTTGGGATTGATCCACCAAGATTATTAAAAGCTAAATTAAGGGCACCAAGTTGAGATAGCATTTGGATTTCGAAGGGAACGACACCAAAAAGATGGTTGTTATGAAGAGTAAGGTTGTACAACGCCTTCAACTGCCCCAATTCTTTTGGAACTGTCCCCTTTAGGAGATTTGACGAGAGATCAATCATTTGTAGCCCAGTAGCCTTTCCCAGCTCTGATGGTATCTCACCGGTGATATTATTGTTTGACAATTTTAGGCTCGCTAAGTTGTGAAAACCTCCCCATTTCCATGTAAGCTCACCAGACAAATCATTGTGACTTAGGTCCACATAGTTCAAGTTTGGGTAGAGGCCGAAATCTTCAGAAATATTCCCTGTCAATTGGTTCCACTCAAGCCTGACTCTAAATAGACGAGTACAATTTTGCAAGCTTTTAGGAATTGGACCAGAAAAATGATTGTGGCCGGCTGAAAAATTTACAAGTAACCCACCAAGGCACAAGTCTCGTGGTAAATGGCCAGTGAAATTATTTGAAAACAAGTGCAAAATCTTCAAATGTGTGAGATTATTCATCTCGGGGGGCAGAGAACCATGGAGATTATTAAAGGACAAACTCAATTCAACAAGGGATTCGAGTTGTCCTATTTCCCGAGGAACAGATGCAGATAAATTATTTGTGCTCAGATCAAGTCGAGTGAGCATAGTCATGTTCCCAATAGAAGAAGGAATAGAACCAGAAAGTTTATTATCCCAAAAATAGAGAAGGTATACGTTTCTTAGATTTCCGATAGAAAAAGGAATGGAACCAGAGAGTTTATTACTCCAAAACAAAAGAATAGATAAGTTTCTCAAATTTCCGATAGAAGAAGGGATCTGACCAGTTAAATTATTGCTTGACAAGTCAAGGTGAATGAGAGACTCTAGTAATCCTATCTCAAGTGGAATATTTCTTGTGAAAAGATTATCACTCAAGTCTAATTTGGTGATTTTGGTCAGGTTACTAATTTGGGATGGAATAGTTCCATAGAGTGAATTGTTCCAGAGATTGAGAGTGAGAAGATTGGGGAAGGATGAGAAGTTGAAACTTTGAAGCGTACCTCTCAGACCAAAATGTGGAAGGCTGAAATACGCGACACTTCCAGAATTGTCACAAGTGATTCCAAGCCACTTGCAAGGGCTGCTGCCAACCCAAGAAGACAGGACAGATTGGCTGTGGTTGTCATCAAGACTTGCTTTCCATTTTAGGAGAGCCTCTGCTTCATTATTACCTTCCGCAACTGCATATTTGGCAGCACCAAATGAAGTTGCAGAGGAATTAGGAGGAAAGGCAAAGAAAGAAGGAAAGCACATTATGAGGAGGAAAAAAAGGACTTGGAGAAACTTTGAGACTGGTTTCTGGAGTAAGGACATCATGTCTAAGGGATATGGTTTGCTATGGAAGATGAAGATCCTAGGCTCCAATGATAGGTATTTATATATAGAAAAAAAGAAATGGAATATTTATTGGAATTTTTAATTGTGTAATTTCCTATTCACCTTTGTTCTTATATTACAGAATTTGATATACGTCAACAACTGTGACATCAGTTTCTATTGGGTGGAAGATTTGGTAAATCCTGGGAAAATTCATTTCCAAGTCCTATAATTTCTAACGATGCTTAGTTGCAGGCTCGTTCGTTCAAAACCTTCACTTGTTCATCCTGGTAATTTTCTAGGATATTGGTGAAATTCATGCTGATGTTAAATTATTTAAATTTGTCTGTTAAATTTATTTATTTTATTTGTTCAATCTACGTATCGATTTTTTCATCCATGATTTTGTACTAATTCAATAAGTTGTTTTCGTGTTTTATATATACAAACCTGAAAATAAAGTAAAAGTAGTAAGCAAAATAAAACAATTTATTAAATATAATATTTAATTTTTTAAATGAAATAATAAAAAAACAAAGAAAATACACACACACATGTATTTAAAAAAACTCTTGCATCAGTTTCTATCCTTTAATTGAATCTGTCAAGAAATAATGTAAGGACTGCTTCATTAATCACGGGCTCTCTCAATTAACTGGAATTGCAATCACTACACCACCAACGGAATCCTTCTGTCATAATTTTGATCATCGGTAATTTTTCATTTCGTTGCCAATTCTGTCAGTAATTAAAAAATTAAACCCCAACGGAACACCAACGTTATTATAGAGGGTGAAGCCAACTAAAGAAAATTCCTGTAAGAATTTTACCAACAAAATAATTTCATTACTATTACCGATAAACTATATTCATCTGTAATAGTAATCAAACATACCAACAAAATATATATGTCGGTGATTGTAGCATGGTAGGTAATTTTTTTGTAACTTTTGGTAAAATACTAATGATTTATTTCTCTCTATACAACTATTGATATTTATTTTAAATATGTAAAAAAATTATTTATTAACAATAAAAAAACTTAATAACCAAATAAATTTGTATTAAACATTAAAAATATAAAAATAATATTAAATAATATTCATCCAAATATTCATTATAAATTTAATGTTTTAAAAAACAAAATTAAACTAAAATAACGGTGGAGCTGGAGAAAGAGGAGGAGAGGGTGGGTTGTTGCTAGGATCTTATGGCAAAAAAGAAGTAGCACATGGATCATCACCCATCTTTGATCTAATCTCCATGACCATTTGACGGAGTTGATCATAATCTATCGAGAGGCTTTCACATTGTTGTTTCAAGGCTATGAACTCCTCTAACTGGGTGCTCAAAAAGTCTAGTGGGATTTTTGAAATTTTTGATGCGAATATCAATTAATCACCGACGGAATTTAATACCACCAACAATAATAAATATTCCGCTGGTAATGCTGTCAGAAAAATTGCAATATAAAACCCCTCTCCCCTATTTGGTTCATTTTTTCTCTCGACTCTTCATCTCTATTTCTCTTTTCCTCTCCGTTTCATTTAAGTTTTTGCAAAAGGTTTTATTGTTTTGGTGGTAGTTTTAAACATATTAAAGGGTATGTATTCTTTTTTCTTTATCTTTGTATTTATTTATTTATTTTTATTTTAATTATGATTATTTTTTTTTGTGTTTTTTGTTTTATGTATTGTTTGTAGATAAAATCTTAAAATCAACACACTATTAAGAAAAACATTTTTTATTCCTAAATTTATTTTGAATTTATATAGTGTTTTTTTAGTTTTGTGTATTGTTTTTATGATATTATTGTTTGTATTGCCATAATTGTTCTTGTTGAATTTATGCCTAAAATGTTAATTGAAATATAGAATTAAATTTGATTAGTTTATCTTAATTTTAGGATATTATTGTTTGTTATGTTATTTATTATTTTGATTAATTTTAATTGTTATTTATGAATTTGTACCGATGTTAATTGAAAATATATAGATGTTGAATTTCTATAGATGTTAGGTTGTATAGAGTTGATTTTGCAATATTTGTGTAATTATCAATATTTGTAGGTATGAAAACTGTGGGTAATCTCTAATATAGGGGAGGTGTTGTCGAATTTTTTTAAATGATTGAATTTCTATAGATGTTAGGTTGTATATATGATGTTGCTGGAATCAATTGAATTGTGGTTATTGTAAAGATTACAGGTTTGAAAACTGTGGGTAGTCTCCAGTATAAGGGAGGTGCTCCCGAATTTTTTTAAAATAATCAAAGTTAATTATGTAATAATTCATATACATTTGTGTAGATGCGTTGAATGAAATTTACAACACGTCATCAGCAAACGGTTGTAGCTAGTTTTTCTAGCAGCGAGGAAGACATCTCCTTAGGTGCTGATCACAGCGAGACATTTGCACCAACTTGTGATGCTGCCTCTTCTAGCGCGGTTTCACAACGTAGAGGCAGTGTGTCTTCACAACAGGGTCAAATCACTTGCAAGTATCAAGCATAATGGAAAGATGACCTCTCAATGCAAGTTTGTTTAGGTTTTAGTTTTTTTTTAATACTTATAACATAATTTATGAACAACTAATTAATTTTTTATTAATTTTATTTAATTTCAGATTCACAAACATTAAGACTATCAGGACAATAACATCAACGTTTAAATCGTCAATAGAGATTTCATTGTTTTAATGGAGTCAGGTCTCTAGACATCCTGAGTGGAGACCTAATATTAATGCCTGGTTTCAGCGATTTCAGGTAGGTGTTAATATTTAATTTCTAGTTTATTTTTAATAAATAATTTTTTTTAATTTATATCTTGTAATATTTTTATTTTAAATGAATTATTTATATACACATAATAAATTTGAATGGGATGGCGCGGACA